TGTGTGTGTGTGTGTGTGTGTGTGTGTGTGTGTGTGTGTGTGTGTGTTCTGTGTTGCTGTCCGTGGTGCTGAGCCCTGGTGCGTCTGGGCCTTATTTGCAAGTGAGAGGCCAGAATTAAGAGAGAAATGTTTTGTTTTGTATCTTAAACTATGATGAATGGAGCATGAATTGAATTTGAATTTTCAAACCACACCTTCTGCAGTGCCTTCTCTTACACCCTCTCATATGCAACATAGTATTATTGGAAGTCCTGGCCAGAGCAGTCAGGCAAGAGAAAGAAAGAAAGGGCATTGAAATAGAAAGACAGGTCAAACCATGCCTGTTTGAAGACATGATTCTATATCTAGAGAACCTCATAGTCTCTGCCGAAATGATCCTTAAGCTGGTAAACAACTATAACAAAGTTGCGGCTTGTAAAATCAGTGTGCAGAAATCACTAGAACTCCTGTATGCCAACAACAGTAAAGCATAGGGCATAATCAGGAATGCAATTCCATTCACAATTGCCATAAAAAAGAATAAAATACCTAGGAATACAGCTAACCAGGAGGTGAAAGATTGTTACAATGAGAATTACAAAACACTGCTTAAAAAACCAGAGATGACCCAAACAGATGGAAAAAGCCCATGCTCATGGATAGCAAGACTTATTAAAACAGTCATACCGCCCAAAGAAATGTACAGATTCAATGCTATTCCTATTGAATTACCAATGACATCCTTCACAGAATTAGAAGAAAACTATTTTCAAATGCACATGGAACCAAGACTAAGTTGAATAACCATGACAATTCTAAGCAAAAACTACAAAGCTGGAAACATCACATTATCCAACTTCAAACTGTACTACAGGGCCACAGTAACCAAACAGTATAGTACTGGTACAAAAACAGACATATAGACCAATGGGACTTAATAGCCCAGAAATAAGGTCACACACCTACAACCATCTGATCTTCGACAAAGATGACCAAACAAGCAATGGAGAAAGGACTTCCTATTCAAGAAATGGTTCTGAGTTAACCGGCTAGCCATATGCATTGATTGAACTTGAACCCCTTCCTTGCTTTACATAGAAAAATCAACTAAAGATGGGTAAAGACTTAAATGTAAAACCCAAGACTATAAAAAAACCCTGGAAGACTCCCTAGGCAATACCATTCTGAATGTAGAAATGGGGAAAAGTTTTATGACAAAGATACCAAAAGCAATCACAAGAAAAGCAAAAATTGACAAATGGATCTATTTAAACTAAAGAGCTTCTGCACAGCAATGGAAATTCTCAACAAAGTCAACAGACAACCTACAGAATGGGAGAAAATATTTACAAATTATGTTTCTGAAAAAAGTCATATCTTGCATCTATTTAAAAAAAACTTTAATAACTTTACAGTAAAGAACAAACAACCCCATAAAAAAGTGGGTAATGGGGCCGGGCACAGTGGCTCATGCCTGTAATCCCAGCACTTTGGGAGGCCGAGGCAGGCAGATCACGAGGTTAGGAGATCGAGACCATCCTGGCTAACACAGTGAAACCCCGTCTCTACTAAAAATACAAAAAATTATCGGGGCATGGTGGCACATGCCTGTGGTCCCAGCTACTCGAGAGTCTGAGGCAGGAGAATCGCTTGAATCTGTGAGGTGGAGATTTCAGTGATGGATCTAACATGGCACTGCTGGTAAGAGGCAGAATCAGAACTGGAATCCAGGCAGCCTGGCTCCTGAATGCTTGCTTTTGCCTGTGGGTCCCCCTTTTCTTCAGGAAAACAGGGCCCTGACTGTGCTAGAGCGGGAAGGGAGAAGCCTCAAAGTCTGTCCATTGACCTCTAAGCTGCTACACCATAGGAATCTGTTACAGGAGGGGAGGCCACACCTTGCCCAGCCCTTCTCACCCACTCTCAAAGCCCTGGCAGGTGCCATACGCACGGCCTGTGTCCTTGTCTGTTGGCTCTTGTGTGAGAATCAGAGGGACACCAATACTCTCTTTTGTGTGAGTAGTCCATGGTACGTGGCAGGGGGTGGAGGGGAAGGGAGAATATTTGCTAAAGGGCTGACCTCATGTGTGAGTGATGTAGAAATGTCTAGTTGGCAGGATGGAGGCACCATGCAGGTGCAGGTGCAGGTCCTGGAGACCCTGCAGCGCCTGGCATGAAACCGGCAGTGGCTGCACTGTGAGCCAGTCATGGGGCCTAGGGGAGGACACTCAGGGCATTGGGACTGTGGCTCTTTATCAAGGAGCATTGAATTTTCATGAAATCAACAACTCATAAGCCCAGGTCAGTGCCTTGGGATGAGGGAGCTCTTATGGACAGGAGGAGCTGAAGAGCCTCCCATGGATGAGGTCTGCAGTATCACCAGGAAGGCTTCTGTCTGCCCCGGGGAAAGCAGAGAAGAAATTTTTGTGTGTGTCCAGTGTGTGTCCCACAAGGGAGACACCTGCCCAACACACTCTGTGCTTTGCCCTCAGTGAGGACCCACAGCTGCAAGTAGATTTCCACACAGGGACAAATGAGGAGTCAGATACCACCTTCCATTTCCAAGTGAACTTTGGTCATTGGGTGGCTGTGAACAGCGATGTGTGTGGGGTCTGGTGGTCTGAGGTGACATGCCACAATATACCCTTTGAGGATGGCAAACCATTTGACCTGCACATCTCTGTGCTGGACAATGAGCACCAGGTGAGCAACCCAGGAGCTCCCAGCACCCAGCCTCCATGGGCTCCCAGAGCAGGAGGCAGCTCTTCCTTAGCTGGCCCCACTGGTCCCTCAGGACCCATCTCCCATAACTGCTCCTGCCCCAGGCTTTTCCTACAGAGCACTCTCTGCTTGCGCTGCCACCCTCAGCTCTTATTCCAAATCTGACCAGGGTCAAGGTTGGCTCACCTGCCATTTTCCCAAAGCTGAAGAATCTCCTCTGTCTTCACCCATAGTTCCCATTTCCATGTATGCTGTTACTTCATTTGCATTCAGACAAATAGATAAAATATGCATATGAATAAAGTTGTTTTATCAGTCCAAAATTTAGCCTTCCTCTCAGTTTTGAACCCCAATCCTGTTCCCCAGAACAACAGTATACTAGTTTTCTACTCAAATTCCAGATACAATCTATGCTATGGACACGTACAGATCTATGGTTTCATTTCTTTTTAAACCAATGCTGTTTTAAGTTTCTCTACACATTACACTTTAGGAACTGGGGTGGATTTATTTTGTTAAACACTGTATATTGGAGCAATCATCCATCCATGGTGCTGCCTCAATTTTTCAACATTGTACAATATTCCTGTAGAAGAGTTACCCAAAATTACTGAACTTGATGCTTTTAATGGGCATCAGGCTGTTTCCAGTATTTTGCTCTCACAAATAAAGCTTTCTAATCTACCCTTTGTCATAAGTAACCTCCCAGTTTCTATATTGGAAGATAAGTACAAAAAATGAAATAACTGGTTCAAAATTGTGTACATTTTACATTTCGTAAATTAACACCTAAAAAGGTGACTGTCTCTAGAGCTTTAGTAATAAATAAATAAATATTTCCAACCTTCCAAATCTTTTCCATTAAGTAGACCCAAAGATTAACATTTTGTTCATATTTAGATGAGAGATCTTTTTCATACACCTATCAGTTGTTCGGAAAAATATCCTATGTTTGGCAACACCTGTTTTGTTCCTCCTCTCTGAAGACATTTACATTTCCTTCTTTGCCCCCACCATTACAGCTCTGAGCAACTCCAAAGAGAAACTGGGCCATCAGCAGTCATAGTGAATGGGAGTTATAGTCTGTGGAACTGAAATGTATGCATTCAGTGAACACTGTCCAGCACTAACCCCATGGCAGGCCCTGTGCAAGATGCAGGGATTGACGTTCATAAGAGACCGTCCCTGGCCATGGGAATATTTCAGGTGATAGGAGAGACTCAGCAGACAGGTTCTGTGATACACAGAGTGGCAAAACCTCCCTGGAAGAATGAGAGAAAATATTGGAAATAAAATGAGCAACTGGCTGAAATAGGCACAAAGGTAGTCTGTAGACAGAAGTGTGTCTACTGGGTTCTGATGTATAATTAGGAGTTTTCTGGTTGAGTGCTGTAAGAACCAGGGCAGAGTGGAGATGATGCTTAAAGCTTGTTCGGTGGCATACTGTATTTCTGATGCATTTTTTTCTTACAGGTAATGGTAAATAACAAATACTGTTACAGCTTTGCCCATCTACTCCCACTATGTTGTGTGAGGATGCTGCGAGTGTGTAGAGATGTCTCTGTGACCTCAGTGTGTGTCTCGATGGAGGAAGATGACCACACTCCCTGTTGTTGAGGAATCCCTATTCCTGTGTGACCATGGCATTCTCAGAGCCTGGTAACAGAATGATCACTTCTTACCCCTTCCTCTATACTTGGTCACTAAAACCACCAAATTTTCAAAGATTTGGCTATATTTTTAATGGGGAAAAGGTCAAAGTGAAACAAGGACACAAGTGACACAATAAGTGAGTCACAAGGCCACTGGAATATCTGAGATGACATATTGACAACGCCCTCTGCGGCCCATAATTTACCTCAGACACTCGGAACCAAAATTATTCCTTCATTTTAAATGACTCACTGCAGTGAAATGTTAGGTAGCTGTTTACAACCACACAGGCATAATTGGCTTTGGGGAGAAACTTTGCAATTTGAGGAAAGTCAGTTGAAATATCTTAATTCTTCACTCATTCTAAGGATGTTTATTGTGTCTGAATACTGTGCCTGACTTTGTGCAGGATATACTGAAGAAACTGCAGGAAAAAGTGACCAAATCTGTACCTGAAATTTTGTCACTGTTGTTTTTTGAGATAAGGTTTTACTCTGTCATTCAGGCTGGAGTGCACTGGTACTATTAAGGCTCACTGCAGCCTCGACCTCCTGAGCTCAAAAAATTATCCTGCCTCATTC